GTTCAGCTGGATTGTAGGATCGAAGAGGAGGTTGAGGCCCAGACAGACCTCTTCCGACATGGCGACGATCTGTGAACCGGGATCGACGATGCATTCGATTTGCTCCTTGTTGTCGACCAACGCGATGATCGAACGAATCGCATTCGAATCGCGGGCGACAGTGAACTCTGCGGGGTGCTCGCCGTGAGGGATGTGCTTCAGATAGGTTTCATAGGGGTCGGGGACGATTGTAGCACCGGGTTCCAACATTGCACCTGAACACGAGAGCTGGTTGACGGCCGTGACCTCGTCGGCGCCGATTTCTACGATGTGGGCCGACGCGACGGGTTCCGTCGAGACTCGCTTAGGGGTGACGGCGTCGCGGTACTTGGTTCGAACATCGGGCGTGATCGACAGCAACTCTTCTGGGGTCAGCGTGACGAACTGTGACTTCATTGAACGCTGGAAGATTTCCTCGGCAAGCTTCGGCTGGATAACGGGGACGATGGTCTTGTACGCTGGTTCCTTGCCCTTGTCATTTGAGGGCTTCGGCGGAGTTGCGAAGTTTCGAACGTTCGGCGGGGTGTATGTTGCATCGCGAGCGTTTGCGAAGGGGTGTACTGGTGGTGCTGGGGGAGCGGATGTAGCAATAGGTTGAGACGTGGATTGCGTAGGCGGCGAAGGCGATGCTGCTGGTATCGTCGGAGGCGGGGCCGTGCTTGTCAAAGTGCTCGGGGGTGCCGCCACTCCTTTCGATGTACCAGATCCCGAGGCTTCCGCGCTTCTCGTGACGACTGGCGTCGTGGGCTTCTTCTGCTGTAGAATCTCGACGCCGTCGAAGACCTCCCTTCACTTCCGAAGCTGAAGGAGTTCTCGCTCGAGCGCCTCGATCCTGCTGCTGGTGTTGAGCGTGAATGTTTGCACAGTCGAGCGATCGTCGATCTCGAAGAGCATCGTCGGAGCGGCGGGTGCTGCGGGATTTCTTCTATGCCACTCATAGATTCAATCTCGTATTGTGAGACCAGGGATAGTGCAGGGGCAAAAACTTCCATTTGGAAGGACAATCTTGCCTTTGGTGTTCCGTTTGCACTTGCCGTCCCAAATGTCAATCTCCGTGAACTCGCAGGTGCCTACCCTGCAGCCACGATTGCCGCAGTAGTGGCACGTCTGTTCAACTCCGCTGTTCTCGTGGACGTGGACGGCAGCTTGTTGTCTCGGTGCGAGGGCGTGGTTGTGTGTAGCATGCGTCGTCGGCTGAATAAGCGTTGTGATCGTCCTCGACAGGCTTTTGATGATCATTGAGATGTCTTTGGTCTTGATCATCCCGGGGGGCACCGTTGTCGAAGTGTTCGATGTCGAAGCGATAGTTTGGTTAGCCGCTGTCGTAGGTGTGCTCGATGTGCCGTGTAGAATGAAAGTAGCCGCAGCGTGAATCTCTGCCATGGTGTATGGGTCGTTGGCGTAGTGATCGGGGTGCTTGAGGTGTAGTCGGGTCTCGAGCCGTGTGAGCAACGCTGGCTGGAATCCTGGAAGAAATGCGCGACTTTGTTCGATAGTGGAGAGCCGGTGCTGTGCGATGAGATGTTTCGTAATGGCCATGAAGTTGCGATAATAGCAGCCTAGGTCTGCCGCGTTGTGAATCCCGATACGAGCGCGTTCTCCAATGAGCTGATCCATGTCCGCCAGCGACCACTTTCTTGTATCGTCGGCGCCAGGATAGAGTGCTCGTACGTTGGCTTTCCAGTCGTTGTAGCTCTTGGCTACATCGATGAAGGACTCAATGGTTTCCCATAAGTCGGCGACATCGATCGAAGGGTACCGAACGGCCCACTGTTTCTTGGCTGCTTCATCGGTAATCTGACACCGGGTGAACAATGCTTCGAGGTCCTGGAAGTAACGCCGAAGCAAACGGACTTCCGATGGGTTGAAGCTTGGTGCTGTCGAATGACCGCATGGGGTCATCAATGGTGTGTTCGTGTTCTGACTCATGTTTGTAGTGTTGGTAGGAGCTGGGCTCGAAGAGGACACAGTAGTAGTCAAAGGAATTGTAGGTGCGGGCGGTGCGGGGTTGGAGTTCGAAGCTGCGTTCGAAGGTGCTAATGGTGGCGGAGGTGCCAGGTTGGATGAAGGTATGACTGAAAGTTGCGAAGAGGATGCGATGGGCGGCTGAGCGTGGGCGCGAAAAGAAGACGGAGTCGGGAGTTCGAGATTCGAAGTAGATGGGATGGGATCCTCGGGTTCAGGTGAAGAACCGGATCGTTCGAAAAGATCAGGAGTCGAAGTGTCGTAGTCGGTAGTAGTGAGGCCTAGAAGCTCGGGGGACAAAGTGCGTTCTTCGGCGGCCGAAGGAATTGGTTCTTTGTCGAAGTTGTCCTGGAGTTCTTGGTCTATCTTGTCTTCTTTGTCGTGGTTGAAGTCACCGGGAATTGTTGGAGAGGGAGTCGATTGCGTTCTAGAGGAGCTGTCGAGGTTCTCGGCGGCACTGCGGCTAGCAGCCTCACGCGCTTGCAAGCGGGTGACTACTGGAGACGTTTTCGGAAACCCGAAAGCGGCGAATTCTTGCCTGAGATCCCCTCGTGGTGGGCTCCAGAAATGATACGACCTACGAAACCCTTACCCCTAACCTGGGTGCGACCTAAAGGGACTAGAGAGACGGATTATAGTCTAGTGAGAGGGGAGTTAGCAGCAAGATGTCCCACGGTTCGAGTGAACACGAGAAACGCCCTTGGGAAAGGTTACGAACAAACGGGTAGGTACGAGGTGGCTTCGACACGTCGTCGAAGCTACTCGGAAGCTGTGGAAAGTTAGCGACGATCGAAGCTCGGCAGAGCTCTTCGATGTATCGTAGAGAGAAGGGACACGATTCGATGGGGTGTACTTAGCTAGGGCGCGGTTCGCAGTTTCTTCGACAATAGTCGAAGTCGAAGGGTTCGTCGAGACGGTATCGACGAGTAAACGCAGTGGACGAGGTTTCGAAGTTACGCGGCGAGGGACGAAGTGACGCAGTTGAAAGCTTAGACGCGGGGCGAACTCGACTTATGAGCTCTGAACTCGAGGGGGGGGGGGAACGGATCCTGTATTTTTGGAGAGAAGTACGACAGATTTTATACTACGCAGGATGCTACGACTATTCGAGAGTGGCATATGAGTACAAGGGGC